GTGTAGCTTTGCGCGAAATTAAAAAAAACAAACAAAAACAAACAATTTATAATTTCAGATCTTTTCCTTTTCACACAAACTTAATTTTTATTGTTTTACTTTCCTTTCCTGTTCTTTACCATTTATTATTCATCTCAACACAAGTCAATGATGCCCTCAGGATGTATTACAGTATCTTCAGGAGAGATGCATAAGCCTTGAGAACTGGGGCAGTGTTTGAGATAAATTTGAAAAATGTTTAAACCCTTTAAATATGCATTAGAAAATGTAAAAAATACATAATTAACTATGTTATAAAAGTAAAACCTAAATGCAATTAAACTGTCTCTCAAACTATAACATATTTAGCTAAAAACAAACATAGGTGCTATCGTGGACAAAGTAGTCAATAAAACTACCAGCAGTTTCATCTACCCGATGATGACAACTGAGTGGCAATTTAAAAATAACTATTGTTGGATTATTAGGTAAAATGGGCTCTTTCTAATGACTATATATGTGTGTGTCAAGTAACTACATGTGACTCGTAGAGCTCAAAGAATAGTATAGAAGGTGGGCATGGCACTTGTTAGGGATGGGAAAAAATTTTTCTTTAGTTTCAACAGAACTCGGCCAAAGAAATTTGCAACATACATGTCAATATAGCAAATAAACATAATTATTGTATAGATTATCTACCGGATGTAGTTATCTTATTCAAAATAGAGAGTGCCAAAGCTGATAATTTTCCTAGCTCATGGGTCAAGTGACAACAGAACTGAAGTTTAAGTATTTTTTAAAAGGTTTATTTTGAAATAAAGGAATTCAAACTTAAATAACATAAAGCTTTGAATTATAACATACATTATAATGTTAATTTCATTGACATGCATTGATAGTTTAATTTAATTTTGAATGTAACTCACTGACTTATGTAGAAAAGGATTTAAAGGGTGCAAAAGGGTTAATGAAATAGTGATTTTTTTTCTTCAATCATGAATAATGCTTATTACTAAAAATGAAGTAATTTATTATTTTATTGTGTGGCTTATTCGTACATGTAAGTGAGAATATGTTAGTTAATATTTGAGTAAATAAATTTTGATGCACGACAAATTTTGGTAGGATCTTACCGAAAAATGTTAGTATATAACTTAATGAAGTTTGAGCATAGAAATATTAGGTAAACTTTTCCAAACATGCACTTTTTTATACCAAAACCTTCTATTCTTCTTAGACAGTCTTTGTGTAGATGAAGGAAATGCAAGGCATTTGTCAAGTGTGTGAACTTGATGTTATCAAAATATGTGTATAAATCTTTTTGTGTCTGCATTAGATAAATAACAATGTGTAGTGCCAAATGTTTCTAATGAATTAAGCTCTTGTACAGAGAAATTTAGGATTAGAAAAACCTTAAAATATATGTATGTTTTTCAATACACCTTTTTAACCAAATGTTACATGTATTTCTTTTAATGTGATTCTATTCGTACAACACATGCACACAGAGACTTATGAGAAACATTTTTATTTTGATATGTCTGGTATTTTACATAATGCCTTTTGTATGTTATGCAACTGTAAACAAATTTATTTTGTAGTCTTGAACAAAAATTGAAGTAGTATGGCTCAAGTAAATCTTACTATATATATATCTTATGTCTATATTTCAGGTTCAGAAAGAATCGAATGGGAAAAAATGTTGGTTGAGACACCACAGGGGTATAGGTATCTTTGTCCATCATGTAGAAAAAGCTATGCCTCTTCCGAAAGCTTGCGAATACATCACTACTATCAACACAGAAAACAAAACCGATGCCACTGCAACTACTGTGGTAGAGGTTTTCTCAGAAATGGTGATATGAAGCGACACTCTTTTGGTTGTAAATTTCAAAAGATTGATTAGGTAACAGAATGTCAATGATTTGTCAGTAATTGTTAACAGAACATTGTTTGAAAACACCAAGAAAGACATTTAATTTGAATTGTTGGGATTCTGCAGTTGATGCACTAGGATTTTGTAGAGGTAATAGTAACATAAAGTTTGTTAATGTTTTTTTAGTTTATAATTATAGATTACACACACAAATTAACTTTCCTACAAATAGTTATAATACCTTCATTAATATTATGACATTAGGTAGTGAACTGTTTAGGACTTGACTGATTTAGAATTTTGCATTCAGTTTGCATCTTCCTTTATATGTTTGACTTTTTTGAAAAATAAAGTATAAAATTTTTATAAAATGTGTTAAAACATTAAAATAGACACTTGTTCTGATACACACACACAATATATATATACAAGATTACCTTGTTAAAAGCTGTACTTTTTTGGTAGGAGTGTTTGTAGGAAATAGGAAGTGAAACTTCATGGTCCCATTTTAATATGTAACACTAACATTGTCTAAATTTGTAATCAGTGATAAATGGTAAGAAACTAAAGTGTTACAGTCTTTGTTTTTTGCTGTAAGAGAACTGAGCACTCATTTTCTCACGAATATGGATGTTGACAGCACTTTCTTTCGCTGTTCAATAAGCAGTGGTCACTTTCTACCAGGATCCTGCTGCTTTCAGCTGAAATCCAAGGCAGGCATCATAGGAGCTTAAACTCTCAGAACCATCACAAACCATAATCTTTGCTTATTTTTTCATGTAATGTGAATGCTGAATTTCCTAAAACTTACTATTTATTTAAGGTAATTTTCCATACTTCTTTTTATAAATTGATTAGCATAACATATAATTTTCAATCAGTCTCCAGGTGTCACCTTATTTTACTTAAACACTTAAATATAGTTTTAAATATACATATATTTATCCATTTTTAAAGTAAAATATCCCTAACACCTTTTCACATACACTATCGCCATCGGCTACACTGTACCGGAAATGAGATGCTTACAAAAGTACATAGAGAAATAGACTAAACATTTCCTGGAAAACCGGATGACCTTCATGAC